CATGAATCACGCTAAGATAGCTATAACTAACTCGAGTATCAGCATAGGATATACCATCTACTACGCGCAACCTTGCAGGCGAGACTGAGGCTCTCGCTCATCGACCTCATCATCTTATTATAGAACAGGAGGCCTAGAAAGTTCAGGAAAGAGCGTTGTCAGAGCTTAGGATCTGCGAGCCGGGCCCAAGGCGGTCGTCTCCGGGAGAGACGCCAGAGAAGGAGGAAGATAGAGCTCTGGGTATGCACACTTTCCTCAATCACTCCTTGGATTTTCGTCTCGACTCATTTACTAATTATTCAAAAGAAGTGAATCACTTAGACTTTAGGAAGCTTGCGTAATTTTGGAATTCCCTATGGGAACCTATAGGGTTGATAAACACACTTGACTTTGACCGCTAATCTTCCTAGGCTACCTCGAGAAATTTCATAGAGTCATTACGCTAGGTTCCTTAACCCAGCTTCATGAGAACAGGACGGTTTCTTGATATCGTGTTAGGCTTGTGCTTGGATAGTAGGGGGGTAAAGCCAAAGAGGTTTGCGCTAAGCGGTCGAGGCTAGCCACGCGCCCACCTAAATGAGCTTTGAATTCTCCTGATGAGCTTGGAAGAAAAAGATGTGTAAACGTCTGTCGATGAGGGTTGTCTATTCGGAAACTTCAATCACGATGGAGAATTGTGGTTTCAAGCCCCAAAGACGAACCGCTCCACCTAGAACACCTAGTAGCTCATTGCCAGTCCTAACAAGGGAACATCGAGCGAAGAGGCCTCTCGTATTTCATTCAATAAGAGCCATTCAATGTAGGTGTATTTCGCTCTCAGAGCATTATTGCCAGTCAAAATGGGCATAACGGTATCAATCTTGTCATATTCTTGCTTTCTTACATATCCCGGCCACTTCAGGAATGCACCTAGAATGTCAAGTAACCGTATGACAGTAAGGTTGGGAGCACACTCATCCGACATGGCGTTGCTGAAGCCTTCAAGAGTCACTTCCCAGGTCTGGCCGGGAGACAAACGAGCGCCGCCCTGTACAAGCCAGAAAAGCTTCTGGAGCGAGGCTTCATCCCATGGGCCGGTTAGAAGGTCATCTGGTATTTCGGTGAATCTGTGGACCTCGATGCGAGTATTAGGGTTCCGCTCTGACCTATATCTTGACGCCTCAGAGTAAGTGCTCAGACGTTCGATATTTCTAAAGGCATTGTAATCACGGTAGAATGAAGATCTGGCTTCCTTCATGTCACCCATTCCAACGACAGCACCAGAAGCAGTATAAGAGTTGGGTTCAACAGGGTCGCCCCATAATGCAGGATATTGAAATGATCGAGTTCGTGCGTGGCGTCGAACCCAGATGTCTCGACAATCAAGGATCATATCAATCGTCGTCCATGAACAAGCCAACAGATCAGACTGGAGAATGTTAATTGATGGCATCAGGGGTCAGCAACGTAGGGAAACTAACTTGAAAGCTGGGGTTTCCGCTGAACTGATCTGCATCTTCTTCTCGTCTTGCATAACTGTGAACTGGTGGAAAGGCTGTGCTCCGAGCCACACGCCCGAACCACACCTCCCACGTCGGCCCAAACGCAGAGATGAAGGTCCCACGCAGCGTGGAGGGGCCGGAAAGCAGGCGTCCAAGGCGAGGACCAGCCCGCGGAAGGTTGACATTTTCGCTCAGCCAGAAAATACGCTCGAGAATTTCAAGAGGCATGGACTTCTCGATCTCGGAGGCTTTGGGACGACGGTCCTTGGGTTGCTTCTTCTGGCTCCGATCCGTTTTTAGGCGCTTTATTGGGAGAGCGATAATAGGTTGCTCTCCCCTGGCACGCCGTTTGCCGCGCACCCTGATTGGTGTCAGTTCCATGTTGTTGAAATCAGGTGACGATATTCATGTAGATTTATGCAATCGAGGTTGAAATCATTGATCTTCTGAGCCTTTTCAGGCCTCGAAGCTTGGGCATCGAGATGCGTGCAGGAAAAATGCATGCATATGATATATCCTGTCGGATCTGTAAGTCATGGTCCAGATCAGTATAGGTAAGTACTTATTCACATGGGTCAGGTCTTTGAAGCCCCACCATCCCGCGCTACGGGGACCACCACCCCACAATGTACTTCACGGTAGTCCCGCTGACAACTGTCAGGCGCGCTTATCAGCGTGTTCAGCTGCTCGTCCAGCTGCCAGAATGTCCTCATGATAGGTACCGCATCTTTTTTTTAACCTCTCGGCGCCCGCGCTATCAATCTGGTGCGAAGGCTTGATGACGATATCTATTTCTACGTAACCTACCTATTTAGAGATGCTACCGTCACTGGAGAGACCGTGGACATAGCCTTGCCCACCACATCGTCATAGCACAGCCGTACATATTCACTTGTCCCATTCGGATGGCGTCTCTCCGATTACCGGTGCCGTCGGTCGGGCTGCTGCGCTTTCTTCGCCAGCAAACGCAAAGCTTCAGTTTCTTCAACCCGAATCACGATGTCTCGTCTCTCGCCGTGGCACCGACTTCCCGCACATCCCAATGCACCGCCCGTTTCCCGCCACCCCCTCTACAGGCCAGTCTGCTAGACTTCCAATCGCTCATTCCGGCGCGAAGCCCTCGAACCGTCAAGGTCAAGCGCTCGCCTTATCCGAATGTGGCCTTGCGCCGCCAACACAAACCCTCAGATCGCCAGCCGACACCCTGCCGCCCGGCATGGCAAGAGTGGCTTTGGGGCTTCGGCACGCGCAGGCCCGGACGACCTCTGGAACCCGACGACCTGCCCGAAGTCGATCGCGACGGCGGCAATAATTCCATGTTCAACACCCCCCGCCAGCTCAGCAAGAAGGCCGCCTCCGAGCCCCGGCTTCGCTGCACCGAAGTCGATGAGAATGGGAACGTCATACTGGTGGACAGCGAGTTCAAGAAGACCGAGCTGATAGCGAGGGTATTCGCAAATCCAGCACTGCGCTCGCTTGCCAAACAGCCTAGCTAACGCCGCGTAGTTTGGTCTTTTACCCCGTGATCTACGCAAGATCGATTCATCCAATCTGCCGCATATACTCGTCCGCCCTACGTCGATATTGCTTAACCTGTTGCATCTCAAGGTCCTCATTAAGCATAATCGAGTACTCTTGTTCGACGTATACGGCACAAAGGCGTCCTATCCGCAGTCTGCTTTCATGTACGATCTGCAGGGGAAGCTCCAGCAAAAAGCGCCGGCCACAAACGGCGGCCTACCTTACGAGTTCCGTGCTCTCGAAGCCGTTCTACAGTCCGTGACGCAGGAGTTAGAGGCCGACTTCGAGGCGGTGCGAGACCCCATTATCCGCATTTTAGGCGAGTTAGAGGATGACATCGATCGCCACAAGTTACGTGTGCTCCTCATCCTTTCGAAGCGAGTCAGCACTTTCGAGCAAAAGGCAAAACTTGTCCGTGATGCTATTGACGAATTGCTTGAAGCCGACGATGATTTAGTAGCTATGTACCTAACCGAGAAAACCTACGACGTTCAGCGACAACTAGATGACCACACTGAAGTGGAGATGCTATTGGAATCCTATTACAAACTATGCGATGAAATCGTCCAGGAAGCGCAAAACTTGGTGTCCTCTATCCGCAACACCGAGGAAATGTGAGAGGCTTATCAACCTTTTTAACGGAAACTCCACTGACTCGTGCCTCTTAGCATTCGCGCCATTCTGGACGCTAATCGCAACTCTCTCATGCTGCTTGACCTTAAGTTCAGCGTCGGGACTTTGGGCTTGGCCATGGGTACATTTATCGCCGGTCTTTACGGCGCCAACCTAGAAAACTTTATCGAGGAAACCAACTGGGGATTCGGCGCAGTCACCGCCGTCTCCATCATAATGTCCCTCATAGTCTGCAAATACGGTCTTTCAAAGTTGCGACACCTGCAGCGTATCAAGATGCAGGGCGAAACACCAAAAGGCCGGGACAGAGGTTATCACTGGTTTCACGACGAAGGCCATGTGGGATTATTGGATCCCCGTAACCGTGAGAAGTTGCGGCGCCTGCAGATGAGTAAGGCCGACGACAAGAAGGCTCCTAAGAAGAGCTGGTGGTGAGAGCCCCCCGGCTTGGTCTCCCCAGTATAATATTATGTATGAATATGTTTGGAAGGGGAAGTGGCGTTCCTCGGATCTCATAGATAGATGTGACATGTCGAAATTGGCGTTTGGATGGCTGAGAACCCTTGTAGATTACTATTGTAGAGAAGGCCGCGTGCGCCTGGGCGAGTCATATTCTCACCTCTAAACATTATTATGGGAGGACGAGAACCATGTCATAGTGTATATACCCATTATAGAGTTGGATATCCCATTCACGATGTATTACGATTATGTTTTTCTTCTCTCTTGTGTAGTATTGCATTATCGTTTGTCTATTTGACATTGGCAGTTAACCATTAGTGACTACATCGTAAAGATGTTGTCAAGAGCCGTATACAATGACAACTTCAGCATAAGTCATGATGTAATAACAAATTACCAGAAAGAAAGGAAGAGTTGAGTAATCTCCAAGGCCAACTTCCAATGCCGCTGGGGCCAGGTCAAGAACAAGTATATGCGGCGTGATTAGAGGCCCGCCTGAGTGCGCAACACGGGTCAAGTCGTGTGCAGACTTCCCGCATTTTTCATTCCGGCTTACTTAGGTATATAACCCTATCTGCTTTGCTTTATTGTGTTATGACATCTGGATGTGGTTATTGAACTTTGATGCTGATAGTGGACGGGCTTGTTCCAGCCCACATCTCAGATTTCAAGCCACTTCGTGACTAGTATGACGAACTACGTAGGTATCTTTCGCCGTATTCTGTCCGTATAGATGATGCCTAGCTCTAATCAAGTTAGGGTAGTTATGACCTTCACTTGGCTCTACCCCTATCACAACGTACAAAAATAACCACTTTCAGGATAGGTTCTTGACCAAAATATCTTCAATATTCATATCAGAGTGATAGAGCAATCCAATCGAAGTCACAAAGTAAAAAGAGTTCCCAAAGCCGGGGATCGAACCCGGATTTCCCAGCCCCGAAGGCACGGCACGCATACAGGTAGGCGACCGTGTGTCAACTTGGACGTGCTGCCATTGCACCACTTTGGGTTGCAGTATACGTGAGACCTGGCTAGATTATGTATCTACTTCTACGGTAGGTTCTCGAAAGCATGGTTGAGACAGCTGTTAAGTTTTAGGTGACACGTAGGTCAAAACTTAATAAGGTCAAAGATAACATTAGTCAGGAAATGTGTAATATATTCATAACACGATTCATGAACGTAAAATAGCCAGAAATATATTGCCAGAGCTTGATCGCCAACATATCCTTGATAGCTCGGAGGAACTACATTGTACTCTTTCTGTTGTCCCAACCGTATAGAAGATTCTACACCAAGCGTTCACACCATCATCGACTTCACGCGCACAAGGAGTTGTAGGAGTCGAGCAGTAGTCGGTTTTTTCCTTTAATTAACCAATTCGTGTGACACACCAATTCCGCCTACGGTCTTGGGAACCACCAGAAGTAGCCTCAGCACTTCCAGGATTAGACTATGATGTAGCTTCATTGTGTTCTCCAGATCCCCCAGGCCTCTGGCTAGGGTGCCCGAATAGTTCTGTTTTATAATGGTCAGGGGAACGACCTCGTACTGTCAACCTTTCAGATTTTCGGGACGCGATTTGTATGAACTGTGAGTCCTGCTTATAAGTGCCTACGTCGGCATAAAGCTTCACGATTAGATGAAAATATTCCTGGATCGCTTGACGTCTGCCGTTGTTAGCCGTTGCCCGGTTGAATTGGAGTCTTTCGAACGTATGCTCCGTAATATGCGGCCTCTGGTCACTATCGCCATTCGTCCGACAGGGGTCTCTAGGCATCGAAGGTCCTGCGGCCAACTCCAGCATAATTTGAGGTTGCGCAAGCTGTTTAGGGATGAGCCGTATTTTACCTGGATTGGATGTCGGTCCCTTGTCTATTTTGGGCATGTGTTGTATCAGTTCGATGGATTCACCCTCACTATTAGATGTCACGGCTGAAATAGACATCGCAAACCCAACAACCTGATATATTGCAGATTCTCCGTTGGGCATATATGTTATAGGTAGGCCGTAGTCAGGAGGCGTTAGGTCATATGAACAGACGCAGGAGAAATAGTTGCGACGATAACACGTCCACTCTTCTTCGGAACGAAAGAAGCCTTTGTCAAGGACTGCTTGGATACTGATCTCAATAGGGGTCCTTGAGTCTGCTGTCCCCTGAGCGTCATAAACTAACTGACCACTTGCCTCCACTGGCAGGAACCCAGGGGTTTTGCCTCTTGGGGTTAGGGCTGTAGCAGGTGGGAGAACACTGGCCATCAAAGGTTGTTCAGTAGACGCTCTTGGGACCATGATTGCTTTTGGTTGTGGTAGCCCTTCTAGAAGGGCTATAATTTTCTCAAGTGCAACTCGAGCAGGGCTAACCAAACACCATCCAGTCCTTGGGCTGCCAGCTACTACAAAACCGACGAGCTGTCCCGACGCCTCATTGAAGACCCAGCTGCCACAGTCACCAGCCTGTATGGGGACTTTGAAATGAATGTTGTAGAGCAGTTGAAAGGTTTTTGTGTCCGGTAATCGCATGTAGACCGGACTTTTAGATCGTCTGCCGTAGATCTCGGCATAATGATTAGTTTTGATGACGACTGAAGTATCGGCAATATCGTATTCTTAGTCCTCGGCAAGCTTTAGAAGCTCTTCACAGGACTGGATGGGTTCGGCTTTGCCCATTGTGATGCCTTTTTTGATGCCCGTCGCGATGCGCATGATGATGAAGTCCAGATCTCGTTTAATCCCAATGATGGACCCAATTTGTTCACATGTTTCCGCATCCGTATCTCTCATCAATCCAGCGTCTTCCACGCCCAGAAGGTTGACGACCATTTGGCTAGAGTTTGTCCTTGAAATATCGGCATCAAATGAACTTGATGAGTCTTGTTTGTCAACAAGATCATCTTCGTTGTCTGAATACTCAAAAGGGGACTGACTACTCGCGCTCACGACGGTAATGGTATCGTTACTCTCCTCCCCATCATCGTCCCAATCATCCATGCCAGTCATTTCGCAATCGTCAGAGTCACTTGAGGAAACGGAAGAATGACCCAACGTATGGTGTATTGGCTCAGGCATGGTCGTTTGATGAAGAGTATGGGCCACTGTGAAACAGTAGAGCTCGTGATTGTAAGTAAACAGCCCACCGCAAGTTCCCGAGCCTTTGTGTTGGCCGGTTGGTGTGTGGAATCCAATCTTAGTTGGTTGTGTTCAAGAGCAAGGTTGGGTTGCACAAGGTGTTAGACATTGACTAGCGATGGAAGTAGAATCAGAGTCAGATACAGGGTCGCGGACGTCACCTCCAAGTTGCTGCAGATCTTCGAACTCAGCCACTACCGAGCAGTGTCCGAGTTCAAAACCTGGGTGTTCGGCCGTGAATTTTTGCGCCTTGATTAATTTAAATGCGGCCTTACGACGTTGCTTGTCGTCTGATACCATCATGATATAACGTTTTGTTTTATTGGGAGACTTGCCGACCATGAGCAAAGTATACCCAATAAATGAATTTGACTCCGGTAGGCACTGTTCTAGACAACATTTGATCTTGCCTTCGATTTCTGTTAGAAACGCCTCTCTGGCCGGCCCATGGGCGTCCCAGCAGGGATATTTCTGAGCAAGCAGTCCACGATAGGGTCCGGTCGAAGATGCCGCGTACGGCCAGAGATCTGTGCTTGTTCTTGTAAATATCTGCATCCCTTTATCATATGGAGTGCTGCTATAATCGGCAGCTGTGTTCTGTCTTAACCTGAAAGATCCATGGCTAGACAACATTTAACACATTGAGAGACTGAGGGTGGCCATTGATCGAGATTTGTTTTCAGTCTAAGAGCCATGCGCCGCAATAATTTGCCCGAATCTGCCTAGCATTCTGCTGCGCCATGGATCACAACCTCAGGATTACGGTTCGGCAAGCTAGCCTTTTATCAAAATTCAGTGGATTTTCACAAAGCCTATATTCTTATTGAAGTCGACCAGGCCTTAAATGCATTAATATCAAATACTAGTAAGATTAACCTTGAATCAACCTTGGCAATGGGAATGCAAGTATGTGTCTTATTTACTGCACTGGGTTCCAGCTGAATATCAATCGAAGGATCACACCTACATCTATATATTCTGTAGCGCAATCTACCCCTTTATTGCATATTCTGTCTTTCGGTTAGTGTAGGTTGCTGATCGTTAAAAATTAGGTAAATATCGAGTCATCATTTATTCAATACCCAAAACGCCTTCGTAAGCATAAATGAGGGACAAGATTACTGAGTTTTTTCCAAACTCGAGGAAGCTTTGTTCTTCAACTCAGCCAAGTTGTGCATACAAATGTTGAAGAGTTGGTATGGAAGTCTCCAGGACTCGAGGTTTCGGGATCTGAAAATGAAATCTACCATACTAGTTTTCACGTGATCCTTGCATCTCGAAACCTAATTGATGTAGTTAGAACTGAGCATTATACTACTCCGAGCTGTTTAAGAAAGGAAGCAAGAAAGAGAGAATACACATTATTTTAGGCTAAGGCTATATTCTACGTACCTTAGGCCCGATATTCTAACTAGCCCCATTTTTTGCAGCTGCTGTACCTTTAAGCAAAGATATGGATCAACCGATTTAATTCTGCAAGTTGAGTAATGGAAAACCCATTGTACCGCACACAACATACTAAGTGCGTCCAAGAGCCTCTCCACGAATAGACAAGGACACCACTAGCAAAGCGGGTTGGATCAACTTGAAGTTTCATAAGCAAAGGCTAACCTGAATTGTATGAGTTGATGATGAAGCTAAGAGAGCTAACCTCTTTGATTTTCACCAGAAGACTAAACATTAAATCATAGCTGGAATATTCATTCTCTGGATGGTCCAAACTTTGTTATCGCTACTCGCCAGACCTGAGTATGTAGCACCTCCAGAAGTGGCGATAGTGTTACCAAAGGTAGCATCTGCTCCCGCTAAAGTGATGACAGTGTTAGAGTACGTTTGAGCTGCGATGGTGCCCGTACAGCCGTCGTTGCATTCGGTGCCTGTGCCATATCCCGTCTTTTTGGTTGTTAGTTTCTCTGTGCCAAACAAGAATAGATGTGATAACTGATGCTTACCATATATGGACCGCTATCATAAGAAAATGTGCTGAGTTGACGTCCAGTAGCTACATCCGTCGCTGTCTGCTTCCAGGTTGTTCCATCACTCTGCAGTTCATATAGAATCTCTACAGACATGGAGCCAGGGACCGGGGAGGCAGGCCCATCCAGTTGACCAAAAGAGCCAAAGAGCGAACATCGAATGCACCACTCGCCAGTTGCGGCGCCACACCAAGAGTTGTCGGGCCAGGACTCGAGGGTGGTTTGCACCAGGTGTCCAGTCCCATTCGACATTCCAGGCCATAAGAAAAGTACCCCGTTCTGCGTGGATGGTGCAGTACCTGGAAGGATTGTAGTTACGGCCTTTGTGATACGTGATCTGGTCGGACCCAGAGAGACAGCGCCTCCCCAAGTGTCTCGGCGATCTAGGGTTTTGGTTGGAGCAACCGGAGGCGAGCCGTAGAGGCTAAGACCCATGACCGCCGACGGCAGGAGGGCGAAGAATACACTAGTCTTCATGATGAAGTATGGGAGTGGGAAGCTGATATTTAGAAGAATGAATAAAATTGGAATATGAGTGTTGCGGTCACAAAGGAAACAGTGGCATCGATGATGTTCGAAGCTCTAATATGTATCCCAACTATAGTCAACTACAGTGCTACAAGTGCACCTAGGCAGCCTTGCCTTTTTGAGATTTAAGAGAAATATTCCCGAAGATCACAAGATTCCGCGAATAACACCCGGGCTTGGCGTCGACCCCGGACTTTGAAAGTCCAAAATGGGAACAGACAAGACGGAGACCGGTATGAAACCATACGATACTGGTGGCCGCGCCATCGGCCCCGTACATTTATAATGGGTAAGATCATTTATGTGTGACCATGAGCAATGTTTAATTCTCCGTCACTAGGCTCTCTCATCGCCCCTTTATTCGGCATTACCAAC